GGCCATTATTAGAGACCCGGCCGCTATTGGAATACAGGCCAATATTAGAGAATTTACGGTATGCACATTATTGACCCTTTATGATAGGAATGGAATAAGAAAACATCTTGATTGGATGTTATTAGATCTCACATTCAGCGTGCAGACCTGATACAACTCTGGCTTATATGTTATCTAGGGGTACATATCAACTGATCACTTGATGAACTTTATAAATGACTTTGAAAATGTTTTCATGATGTTCCAGCCGTTTGGCTGAGGCCTGAGCTTTGTTTCACCCCAGTAACAGACCACAAACTGCTGTGACAAAGAGCCTCTGCCCATCGCCGTTTCTTCTATGGACGTCATCACTATAAACACGAGGAAACAGTCGATTTATCGCCTCAAAGCTCTCCGCATCTCAGAGGGATGAAACATAGTTTAGCTGCCATTCGGTTTGTCCATCAGAACGAATTCTGTAAGTAACCCCTACACAAATAACCGATGCCAATCCTCCAGCATATGATAATGCTAGTTTTTCTTATAAATCCTTGTCCACTTTACAATGCCTGCAAGCTGCATTCTTGCGGCATGTGTGCATTCACAAATACAGAATAATCCATCACTTTCTGCTTCAACAGTTCAAGACTTGATGACACAGGTAACAGGTTGTTCAATCGCGCTACAGTATCATGGTTTAAGGCATAGCATACTGCTGTTATGAAGGCAAGAGTTGGCAAATCCAAATCCAAACATGGCAAAGCAGGAGGATGCACACTTGGCTGCTGTCATCGCCTCTGTTTTGTCAGAAGCCAATACATCATCTTTAAAAGAACAGCAAGAGTGGAAAAGTTGTTGTGGTTTCTCATGGCGTCTGATGCTATTTCATTTGTTAGCGTGATTGGCTAAAAACAAACCTTGGTAGGCGGAAACAAGGTGTCGCTTTGTCCAATCAGGTCAGAAGGTTCTGAAGCCAAACAGATCTGATCAGAATGAATAACATGTAGATCTAAACCTGAGGCTAAGCTTTGTCAGTCCAAAGTTTTAGATTCCATTTTCCTTTGCAGATGTCAACTAAAACTAAATGGGTGAAAAAATAAAGAAAAAAAAGAACTCTCTCTAGAGTGAGTATACAAAACTAAAGCTGTAATGAAATGTTTCCTAGTTAGACAGACTTTGACACACAACAATCTATTAACAACTTCTAAACACATGATCTAATATTCATTTTGGTCTAAGCTAAAATGTTTAAGTCCTAAAACAACATCAGCTTTCAGGATTAACTAATACTGATATGAACCTGATACAATATCACCCTGAATTCTACTTTTATTACTCATTTTGTAATGTAAGAAAAGGACAGATAAAGTGATAATACTCAAAGACAGTCAACAAAATTAGACATGAGGACAACTGATCCATTTTTTTTAACAAATTAGTTATAGAAACTTTAAAGAGAAGCAGGACATTCCTATCAACTAGCTTAGATCTGAGACTTTTAATGCAGGCTGATATATTCCAATGTTATTTCTATTTAGCTGATAGACTAAATCTGACACTGTGTGATTTCCAGGGCGACTTTTCAGTCGAGCAAGCATTTTTCGATCGGGCTGACTTTCAGCCTGATGGTGAGTCGTGAGTGGTGTAGCGTACAGGGGGTCACGAGCAGCGATCAGCCTCTCGTGACCACCTGCCGATCAGGAATCATAAGTTCGTGGGCAAATCCCTTAGGACGCATGCGCAAAGAAGGATTCTTCTTTTTATTCTTCCTCTCAGATCTAAACACAGCAACATGGCAGGGATGCAAAGAGTGAGATGCAGTTCCGTCTGCAAAATTGGCAGACTGCAGCAGCCATGTTTGCTCAGCCACGTCTTTTTTTTTTTTTTTTTTTAAATACGTGGTCACCCTTTCTTACTAGGACTTTCAGCACAAAATTGCACAAATTGCCAAGGCAGCGCGGTTCACTATAGTGAGCTTAGTCGTACAGTGTGAGCAGCAGATGCGTGCAATGATTGAAAAAAAATCGCACCGTGTACGCACGGTTTAAGATCTTATATAAATATTGGATTAGTAGAACTCAAAATTTTACTTTCTGATTACAGTATGTTAGCTGCGCTTCATTGCAGAGCAGCATAACTGTTCTGCTGTGCTCCAAAGGTGAGGATGCGATGATTAAGTGGGTTTTTTAATGAAAACTGTGTGCAGCATCTTAGGAAAAAAGAAATTGACAAAACACCCAAACCTGTAGGTCCCAGATGGTTTGCATAGCAGAACATTCAACTTCTATACACTTTTCAGGTTTATTTTTCTGCATTTTGTATATTTAGTCGTACCTCCATGTACACATCTTGCCTGTTTTTTTACTGCCTTGACTGCAGTCACATTTCCATCTCTCCGAGTCATCAGAGCTGCTCTAACTTATTTATGAATGAAGAGTGTGCAAAAACGTTCAAATGAAACTTGTCTGTCCTCGAGTCCTGCAGGTTTTAGAGATTTCCCTGCTCCTGCACAGCTGAACAGGCCTTTGTTCAACAGGAATCATCATAATCAGCTGTGCTAAAGCAGGGAAACCTCTGAAACCTGCAGGACAACGGCCCTCGAGAACCGACTTTGGTGATGCCTGCTTTAAATTACAGCCATTTGTGAACCCCACAAGGTGCCCAATTGAAAACCTGGGTTAACTCAAACATTAATTATGTCCCTACTACCAATTACTTCTGCTTTGGGTTTCAGGTTTTACTAAATAATAGTGAAGAAGCCTAGCTGGGATGAATGTCATTCATAGTGCAGTTCTAGAGTAACCCTTCTGCTGGGATCAGAATATCTCTTAATAACTAAAACCTTTTTCCTCAAAATGGAAATCTGTTGCAAAACTTATTAAAAAACGCTTTACTTTCACACTATTCACATGACCACAAGAAACAGAAAGAAAAATCCCTTCATCTCGTTGCACGACTGTCGTTCTTTAACCGCAGCCATCTCACCTCCATCCCTTTCTCTGACGCGGTGCGTGTGGACAGCCTTTGCTCTGCCGTGGCCTGCGCTGTCTCCGTGTTTGTTCTCCGGGCTGTCGGACCTCCTGAGCACCTTGCAAGGAGGAGTGACATCTGCAGGGTCGCGCGTCTTCTCGTGACGATGTTCCCCTCCTGGATGGCTTTTGGATGAATATTTGAGAGTCTGGAAGCACAAAAACAAGGAACTCAGCATCATCTAGTTAGAAAAGTTGATTTTAGTCTAGAGAAAGTATTGGATCACACTAATATATACATTTAACTTTCTTTACAGACAAATAGGTTGCTAATATGAAAAAAAAGGTTCAATAATCACCAATTTTGTGCCATCAATTATATATTTTTTATGCTTTTCCCACTCACACCCCAACTCACTTTAATTTTCTGCAAAAATTACTCATAAAACCTCATAATCTATTACCAAGTTTATATCTACTCAGCATTTAAAATGATAGAGTACTGATAATTACATTCAGTTAATTACATAAGGTAAACAACATATCCAAACACAGGCGGCTACCTGCCTCTGCTGACCAATAATAAGTTTATGGTTTTATTCAGTTAAAATAAGTGGCGGCCTTATACAGACATATGGACGACTGTTGAGTTAAAAGATAAGATGACTTTATCCTTAAAATGACAGATTGAGCTCGGGCCCTAATCGGAGCGGCTAGCAAAGAAGGCTAACTGTAGCTAGCTATCGTTAGCTTCGATCTGCAGTGGAAACTCCCTCTGTCGTTTCTCTAAACCGCTTCTTTCGACACATTTGTGTCGCTATATGTTGTATCAACATTTAAATGTTTATGTTGTGGATATTTTCTATGCTATATCTACATTTTCGTGTAGGTTATCCACTACTTTTCGTGTTATCTTCCGCACTGAGGCCTGTGCTTTCTATCAGCCTGAGCTAGAGTGTCCATTTTAATCTTATTTGCTGCTAGCAGGCTAACAGGCTACGGCTAGCTAATAAGTACCTGATAGGGCTGAGAATCTCTTCGGTCGCACCTGAAAATAGAAAACAGTGTGTTAGAAACATTCAGTGCCACTGTCGAAAATAAACGACTTTGCAATGCTGCTGAAGCAGCACGTTTAAAGTTTCTAAACACTTATTTTGGTTTCGGCAAAAATGGCGGATAGTCTACGCGTAGCTACGAGGAAAAGGGGGAAAAAAATCTGAATAAGTAACGTGAGAAAAGAATGTTTACCCATCGCCGAGTCTCGGTTGTTTCCTTGCATACATTACCATCAATGCCGTGTTAGTGTGTTTAGAGTGGGATGTGAAAGACTTGATAATGGCGCTATGTTTTCCTTGAAATTCGACGACCTGAAATCGTCAGTTATAGCAATGCTATCGGGAGCGCTGGTCTGAAGAGCGCCCTCCCCTCAGTCCAGCTCCCAATCTGAAAACACAGCTCAGCCAGATAGCAGCGGAACACAGCGGCTCAGCAGTCAGCCGGGTTGCCACATCGGGGAAAGAGACCCGTTCAGAATGCCACGCAACACCGTTACAAATTTACGTATTCCATTTATCCAATTCAATCCTCGCAGTAACGTTATTGTATTGTAAGGTTTTTGTATTACAACCGTAAATAATCTATACTAAAAATCATAAAAGGAAAACATGATTAGACAGATAAATAAAAAAGAGTCTAAATAGAAATAACCCAGAGCAAACCTGGCAACCTTGTTGCTGCAACTCCTGCGATGCAAACATGTAGCCTACTTCTTACAAAACATGACCATGATTTTAAAAAGTGTAAATCAGTAGAGTATTATGTTATTTATTTTCCATCCCACCATTAATTTGAGAAAGAATACAATCCAGGTTTTAGGGAAAAAAAAGTCGAAAACAGTCGGTTTGTTTTGTGAATGAGGCAGGGAGTGAGCTTTTCCACTGGGGACATCTACTGGTGGAGTTTTGTTATTACAGGCACATTTCATCTTTTATTTATTTTTTATTAATTTAGTGTTTATTCAGACTAATAATCATACAAATAACTGTACTATTTTAGAAAATTATTCTTTATTTTAGAAAAATCTTTAAGTAAACTTGATTTATTAACTAAAGAAGACCATATTGAGCTTTAATTTGGCCCCTCTCTAATACTCCCACTGGCTCTAACTTGTTGTTGATGGTGTTTATTAAACTATATACGACTTATTCTGCAATAATAAAGCTGCATTAGTGTTGTAGGGGAATTGTGTATGAAATCAGCCCCCATCTGATTTTTTATTTTATTTATTTATTTATTTATTTATTTATTTATTTATTTATTTATTTATTTATTTATTATTATTATTATTATTATTTTATTTTTTTTGTAGTAGCTGTATTGCATGAGTTTTTTTGTTATTCACGAATTTGTGCTGGTACTGTCCTCCACAGCACTTTGTTTTGGGTATGTTGCAATTTCTTTTTAATCGCAAACATGCAGAGGGTTACAGTATGTCTGTCTCTATGTGATAATGCTCTATGTTTTCATGTATCAGTATATCTATACACAGATATTTGACTTGGTTCAGAATGGATAAGTGTCACACAAGGGCTGCTTGCCTGCTTCCCATTGTTAACAGACAATGTATCTCACATCGTATTCAAAGCTGAGGACAAAAGACCCAAGTGCCTCAGCATTTTGGTTCGCAGTGCACCAACACAGGATCATGAATGGAGGGGGACATCTATTGTCAGCGCATTCCTGAGACTTGTTCTCAAAAGCACAGATTTTTTTCGCTCTCTCACAAAGCCAGAGGACCACTGCATTGCGGCCAAAGAGAAAAAGATAACTTAATTCAATCTGTTCCATTCATTTAATCATCCTGGCCACCTGTTGGTCTTTCCTGTCGTTTGGCCTCTAGGGGGCGATATTTCATCATTTTAATACTTCATAAAATTAGAGTTAATTTCAGCCCTTATTCATTTTCATAGTGTTATCATGTTATTGTTTTATCATTATTGTTGTTATTACTATTATTAATATTATCATTATTAGTTGTAGTATTTGTCTGTCTGTCTGCCTGAGTTGCTGAATTTATAAAGAATTAAGTTATACAGAATTTAGCTATCCTTTTAAATGTTTAGCACTTAGTGTCATGTGTATAAATAACACATCAAAGTGAGAAAAAAACAAATGAAATTGCTCCATTGCATTTAAGAATGCTCTTTTAACCAAGTCTTAGACAACTTTTATTGTCATTTCTTAAACACAAAGTGTATACAAAATGAAATCTCATCTGTAGGGTTTTGATACAGTGAATGAGCAG